TCGAAGTCGTGTTCATGCATCTCTAAGCGCACAACACCATCCATTCTTACTCCTGGTAGGTTTTTCTAGCAATGGCACCTAATGCGATCAAGTATTCGCTTCATTTTGAACCCTATCTCTCCATTCTGCCCCTTCTAGCTATCACCTACTATACAGGCTCTAGGTCGTACTCAACCAAGTCACTCCGCACCTAAAGTTGGCCTTGAGCAGACCAACCACCATTACTACTTCTTAATATCGAGATATAATCGCTGTTTAATGCTTCTATGATCTAACTAATGCGTATTAAGTTTCTCTAGTTGAAAAGAATCGTTTCGACGAACCCGACTTTTCGTTCGTTTTTCTTGCGATCGGCCCTGACCGCTTCGCCTAAAATTCTCGACTATAACTATATTGTCACCACCAACACTTGAAGGCGTACTCTGTTCAAAGAGGCGGGAGCTTGTATAAAAAAAATACCTATTGGTGCTGGTGTTATTAATTCTGCTGCCAACAAAAATCACTCTACCCCCCTTTCCCTCAGCCCACCCTCATTCGAACGGTAGTGAGCGCTTTTCATCCCCTTAAGCTCCAGCCGCACGAAGCGGACGAACTCACCCTCTATACGGAAGCGATTCGTGGTGTGAGTAAGATGACGTCCGCTTCGCCTATGGAAACCTTCCCGTCCGGCTCTACCGGTTCTCATAGCGGAAGCGCCTCCCCTCGACAACCCGTAACCCCGAAACATGTCCAATTCGAACTCCTTTTCCCCGAATCTCCTCAATACCGCGCAAGACTTCCCCTGCGCGTTCAAATATACCCTCATGATGACACGGAGTCAATAATATCTACTGTGAAGAATTTCTACGGCCTCTACCATGGTGGGAAGGGTGTTAGTTTTGAGGACGATCGAGGCAATACCCTCATTGCGAGATATGAGAACTTTAGCAACAACATGATTGTATACGTGAGAGTCATTGAAGAGTCTCCTCCACCGGCGGGAGCATTTGCTCCAAATGGCTTTCAGCCAGGGCCAATTGATTATGCGGCTCAACAATTAGGGCACCATCTTTCAAGACCTGCGTCGAGGACTTCCCGCAAGCGCAGTCCATCCCCCAATGGAGGTCGCGGGAGGCGTAGCGCGTCTGCTAGCACGAACCCTACGGCTGGGAAGAAAGGTCGCTCGCGCTCTACTAAAAATCGTAGCGCGAATTATGATAATCGTAGCGACAGTATCAACGGGTATGATAGCGGGGACGGCGCTCCCGCGTCTGTGTCCAGCAAGGCAAAGGAACAGATCGGCAACACTGACATCAGTGTTGAGAACATTGTAGAAGGTGGTCGCCGGAAGCGCGCCAAGTTTGAGAGCTCGGTAAGTCTACCCAAACTCCAGTATGTTCAAGGCGATCTTGCCTAACCAAGTCGTGGTCACAGGAGCTACCGCTCTTCGCGCCACCTCAGATGCCCGCTGCTACCTCTAATCCTTCCGTATCTCCTGTCCGTCGCGTTGAGCATCAGCGACCAGCATTTCCATTTGCGCATCCCGGACAGAATGCTTTCACAAATGCTCGTGCCCTCCAATCTCCACAAAGTTATAACAATGGGTATGGTCAAGCTGGCATGTTTGCGACACCGATGAACGACTCGCGGCGCCATCGCAACAGTGGTAGCATCAGCTATCCAGGAACTGGTAGTAATATTCTGCCAACCCCTGATCCGACTATTGGAAGTTGCGTGTCCGAAGAGGATAAGGATGTCGCAATCCAGCTCATGAGATTAGGTGAAATGTCCAATATTTCCCATGGGCGGACTTCCGCGTCAACCTTAGACGATACATTCAGCGGTAGGGCTGAGCTTGCTTCGTCGACGGGTGCTACCAGTGACGCCGATAGTGATAGCGAAAATGAGCTACCACCCTCGCGTCGCCAGAAGCTTGACTTCGCTGGAGCCAATCGCAAGGTCTACCAAACAACGCACAGTCACTTTATACCCTCGCGCGAAAGTATCGATGCTAGTGGCGACGATGCTGACTACGAGGATGGTGTTGAAGATGGTCCTCTCGGCGCGCCCAAGTCACACGACTCGAAGCTCAAGACCCAGCAACCCGGAAAGCTACAAGCACCGGGCGCAAAGACTTCTAAGGCCAAGGCTCCCAAGGCTCCCAAGCTCACCAAGACGAAAAAGACTAGTGTTGCTGCTAGCCTCATTGGCCCAATGTCGCCCGCGTCTCTGCCAAACCAGTCGCGCAAGCCTTCTATCGCCTCAACTACGATGGCCCCAGGGCAGTCGGGCGAGGATGACCAGCCTGACCTATCTACTAAGCCGCGCTGTCAACGATGCCGCAAGAGCAAGAAGGGTTGCGACCGGCAGCGACCCTGCGGTCGATGCCGCGACGCTGGTCTCAGTGCCGACCAATGTATCAGCGAAGACGAAGGGAATGGTAGAAAGGGTCGGTATGGTCGCCACATGGGCGTTCCCATTAAGACGGCTGATATCCCTGGACCTCCAACTCTTCTACCCGCCGCCCCTATCGCGGCCCCCGCAGTAGCAGGCGACAAAAACAAGAAGCGAAAGCGGTAGGTCACCTGATCTACGAATAATGCGCCACAACACATTGATACTCGACAATACGTATCATGTAAGGCAGAGAGAACTTGCGAAATCTACCGACAGGTGCCGCCTTTTTCTCGATTATACATCCACCCCGAGTACTAAGAATCGTATTTATCAGCTTCAGTCATAAAACATAGTTGTTGATAGGATACGCCTATATGCTCAACACCGCACCGCTCTAAACTATAGCAAAAACGTGGTGTTTGCATTTACGCTAGTGTAAAACTATGCGATATCTAAGGAGGGAAGCGGATATGGGACGGTGTCTTGTTACTCTTCGTCGGAGTTTTATTCCTATTGGGATTGGAAGAGGCGTAGAGGAAACAGGTATTTAATATGGGCCTCGCGGCCGTTACACTCCTTTTTTATCAAACATGGAACGCCAGGTACAATATCTTGCGAGGGGGTTATTGGCGTTGGATCGTACTTGCTTGTCAATTCATCATTCACAACGTCACCAACCTCAGCTACAAGATGCTACGCCGAGCCAGCCATTGGCTCAAAAATAAGAAAGCGAGCTTTGGAAAAAGGTAATCTAGGTGCGTTTCAGAAGGGAGAAGATGGAAGAACGGCAGCAAGGAGAACAAAAAAACCGGAGTGTTAAAGGAGTCCGCTGCTCGAGGGCGAGGGATGCATGGCAGATGCCCTACTGTCAGCGGATCACAGGGCGTACGAAAGGCCGGACTTGGTAGCCGTACGGGGGTGGGAAATTGTGTTTTCAAACGGGGTTATCCGTTATCCTGCTTCTCCTATATTTTTTGGCGGTCCATACTTGTTTTGAAGCTTTTCGCATTGTGTGTTCTCTTTTCCTTACCTGTTCTCTATCGCTAGCTAGCGGAAATGAATGTTAAATATCATGAAAACCTTAGCGGCAAATATAAACGATGCTTATAACTACGAGATGGTATATATTATAAGCGTGTATCTGCATATATGGATGTATATATGTGAGAGCGTATATATAAAGTAATTGATAGACTGATCGTCGTTGCAGTCTCGGTGGATGTGCGTAGTATATATAATCTAATATATAATCTATTTACCTATAGATACGTAATAAGTAACCAAGCTGTGTAAGTCTGTGGATGACAAAAAAGTGTATCAAACTAGTGTATACACTACAAGTGCCATGTTTTAATCTTCAGACTATCAGGTATCATCCCATATAACACATAATATTTTATTTTATTTTTATTTTTTAATGGGCCGCATCTGACATGTTCGTGGCTCGCATCGAAGGTCGAAAGGAGAAGTCGGACGGGGTTCAAACCTAAACTAAAGCGGCGTCGTTCTGGACCTAAAATAAGAAGCTAAAGGACCAAATCCAAGCTTGGGATTGGTTGCGCATTCGGCAGTTACCGCCAGTCAAAAAAATTCCGGGGTTCGTGTGACGTTGAGTTAAACTAGATCGGTGACCCGCTATTCCTTTTATAGAATAGTTTAATTCTCCCCTGGCAGCTAGCCGCCTTGGCACTAGATCAGAAAAAGCGGCTTGGATCAACTTTTGTCTCGAGCGTTTCGAAAGTCTTCTTTCTTCACACAAATCCTTCACCGTCGCCCACTTGTAGCCGAATTTGAGGAACAAAGGGCCAAAAAAAAAATTATTCTCCACTCATCTTTTTTCTCCTCTTCCCTCATGTCTCTCTATATGCGGATGGCAATATCACGATACCAACCTCGTGAAGCTTTGGTACGGGAAAGAGGAGAAAATGGTGTTTTTCGGGAATTGATGCCCAGCCCATGGTCCATGACTGAAAAGCTCCAACTGAGGATCCTACCGAGACCCTATCGAGATGGCAATGTGGACTAGAAGCCAGGCTAGATTCCTTCTTCACCGTTGTTCTGCTCCAGTCGGTGCGCTTTCGGTAATGAGCTACTGGCCCTAGACACCTAGGCACACATCTCGTGATATTGTGCAATGTGTGCAATGCGCGTTTGTTATCGTCACGTTGGAGACCCCCCCGAAGTCTCCGTGGCGGCGCGCAAGCTTCCGGTTCGCTGTCATGTGTAAGAGGATCTACCAACGTTCACGATGGGTATGGAACGTGTCTTGGGGATGGCACACTTGCGCTACGCTGGGAGGGCGGCCAGACCGTCGCCCCTTATGCGCTTTACTCCACATGGAAATTCCATGACAAGCCCACGCAGCCGTTAACGGACGTTGGGGTCCGGGCCCTTGACCTCCCTGCAACATCGTGGCCACATCGTGAGATTTTGCTAGGTAATATGTTCCGTTGGAGATTTTACGAGCTGGAAAATTTTGAAGGGTTCTAGTAAGTATATGAAGGGCCGCATCGTGAAGTTCACCATCATGATTATTATTCTTGTTATCCTCTTCTCAGTTTAGCAATATATCGAGCTTCTTCGGCATCTCAACCAGCCACAAATTCTTATATCTTTTGCCTATCATGGTCTCTGTTGAGCAAATCAAAGAGACACATCATGCGGTAGCCGTTACTTCTCTGACTAGCAGTCAGGTATCGCTCGCTCATCCCGACGAGAGCGCTACGCCGAAGCTTAGTGTTGACGATGAAGTTGACTACCCGGACGGAGGCTCTGTTGCCTGGCGTCAAGTAGTAGCTTGCCATTTCATCAACGCTATGGCTTGCGGCTATGGTGCAGCTTTTGGAATATATCAGCTTTACTACACAGAATCACTTAAACTTCCTGCATCGCAAATCTCGTGGATCGGGTCCGTCCAGATCTTCCTAAACAACTTGATCTGCACTGTAGCTGGGCGACTAGCAGATGCGGGATATGCGCGAGAGACGGTCCTCGGCGGGTCCTTCCTTGCTTTGATAGGCACTTTCATGAGTAGTCTTGCCACTGAATACTGGCAGATCTTCCTTTCTCAGGGAGTCTGTACAGGCCTAGGTTTAGGTCTGATGTATATGCCTACTATCACTATCGTTGCGTCGTACTTCAAGAATAGGCGCGCACTGGCCCTAACACTTTCTTCAGCTGGTACCGGAACAGGGAGTATAATCTTTCCCGCCACTGTCCAATACCTCATACCTAAGATCGGCTTCGCTTGGTCCGTACGCTGCGCAGGATTTGTCGCTCTGTTCATGGTTGTGGTCATGAATGTACTTCTTCAGCCACGTCGCCTCCCCAAGAAAACTGGACCCGTGGTGGAGTGGGCTGCTTTCAAAGAGCCCCCTTACGTGCTCTTCGTCGCAGGAGCATTCTTGGTCTACTGGGCCTTATATTTCGGTTACTTTTATGTAAGTGTCATCCACTCCTATATCCCGTGGGTTAGGGTTTATAATCGAGGGAACAAATTTTCTAACACTCACATAACTAGGTCAACACATACGCTATTACAGTCGCCTCCTTTACACCTACGTCTGCCGTTTCACTGCTGCTTATCATGAACGCAGTCGGTATACCATCTCGACCAATAATCGGGTACCTTGCCGACACTTACCTAGGCCCTATTAATGCTTTTATCCTATCGACCATCACCCTAGCCGTCGCCTTCTTTGCATGGATCGCCATCAACACGCCGTCTACCATGTACGTTTTCGCGATCGTCTTCGGTATCACGAACAACGCGGCTCAGGGAGCCTTCGCCAGCGGTCTAGCCAGTCTGACTAAGGATCCTGTGAAGATGGGTACCAGGTTCGGCATGTGTTGTACTATACTAGGATTCGCGACGGTTGCTGGGCCCCCTACTGCAGGTGCGATTATCGACTACTGCGGCGGCCAATACCTCTGGGCTCAAGTCTGGGCTGGCTTGGTCACAATCCTCGGAGCAGCTACCCTGGCCGTAGCTAGGTATAAGGTATCAGGCGCCAAGTTTATGGTCAAAGTATAGATTAATGCGCCGGCGGCACTGTTATTACTTTACCGCCGGACTGTATGAACAATAATGGGATATGGGTATGGCTTGAGAGTTACTTTTTGCGTCTCACGCCATTCCCCGCTATAATGGTAACTCTGCTACGATTGATGTATAGATAGAAGGGGGGTGTTTATGGACACTTCTCGGTATTCGGCTTCGGCGGAAGGAAAAAAAAATTGGGAAGGGAAAAGCGTTTGTAATGGGTTTGAGGAGTAGATTGGGGTTACGAGTTATGACTTTCCTTTTTTTTTTTGCTTGGTTAGATTCGTACGGAGCCGATATAATTTAATATTTTACTCTGATATATTGGTGTGTTTTGTTTTTGTGATGAGGACTCGGATCGATCTACCTATGAAATATCTGGTGTTTCACAGGCGCATCAAGTTGAAATCGTGGAAACGGGTTACCCGTGTAGATCTTGATGCATGACAACATGTTTTGACTGGAATACGGTAGAAGATCTTCGTATGTGGGTTTGTACAACTTTTAGGTGCCACATTCTTTAACAATCTACTTATCATATTCCTTAATACAAAATCGTATACGTAGTGGCGACAGGGTAACAACGTGATAGGGGTCCAAGTGCTATTGGTTTGTTTTATAATCTAAACTCCGATCCAGGACAGTTGACGTACAAATAAATAATAGTTGGTTGAATCCATTAGTTTAGTGATATTGTATATATTCACATATACCTAAGTACCTCCTGACTGGACATAGATTCTGCTACCGCATGTTGCCACTTGATTCCGTTATACGAATTTATAAGCTATAACTAATACATCGACACCGAAGGTAAGTACCTTGTAATATAGTATGTAATGTAGTGTAGGACGGCCCTTGCGGATCTCGATAAGGTCCGGTTGCACGAGAGATTATGCGACCGCGGCCTTTCTATGCATTTCGGTCGGCAGTACTGCATAACCAATGCGGGTTGGGAGCCTACCGTTTATTATACATACCTAATTACATACCTAATATACGGCGGTCGCGTCGCATTGGATGCGCATCGGAAGAAAGCTTGACGCATCCCATCCTACACCGGTGATACTTGTAACTTGCTACTCATGCGACATATATCTGCGTCATGTTGAGAGGGTACTTATCGTATCATGGGAGAATTGGTTATTTATTATCAATCAATAGCATATATAGGTACTTATCAATTACACCCATTGATCCGATTTATATAGCAATTGATAGCAATTGTGTAGATAGTAGATAAACCCCTACCATAATATCACAAGTGCTGTATTGCTATATTAAATTTTTATGCTTTGTCAATTTCAACCCCCACAAACGTTGCAAAGTCAATTTGATTATGATGAAATCAGAAATAAGATGCTTTCATTGGATTCCGGCTTTACGGGAGAGGTAAGCTAAAAGGCTACTACGTACCTAATCGTTGTGGCTTGCTGAGCTTGCTGACATGGATGGCATAGCGTCTTACCCACATGCATGCAATCAACTTAACCCTAATAGGTAAGGTATTATGCCAAATGGAGCAGTCTATATCCCTGCCTTGTGTCCTATCAGGGGAAAGAGTGGTTTATTAAGACAAAGTGGGGTCTTATCTTCCCCAAACTTCTCCGTCCGGAACTTTTCCATTCGTGCTTCCATCAATCATTAATCTTTCTAACAAACCCCCAATCTCGAAGACCCCTCACGGTTAACTACCTCTGCTACTACTACAACTACAACTACTTAATAGTAATAATAATATAATAGGTTCACCATCATCACTTGAGGGGTTGCCACCATAATGTCCACCACCCTTCTATCTAATACTGCTTACAGCCTGTTTATGTAGAGCTGCAGTATCCGTGCCACCCACGGGCATAGTAGTATTAACATATTAACATATTAACAATCAATAAAATGGGAGTTGGACCCTGCCACCTGACAGCGAACGTATTTGCCAAGGCTCAAGCGCACACAAAGTCTTGGACAAAGAGTGCCATAAAAGTCACCCTTCCAACGACGATGTCTAGCATAAAGGTGCCAGCCGGGAACATGACTTGTTTTCTGTCGGTACTATTTCTACCTCCGTGCTCAGCCGTACCTAGGCACTCGATAGTCTATCAACTAGATAGAAAATAGACGACTACCGAATATTCGTATAGTTGAAACTGGCTCCAAGCAGCCATGTCTTCTGCCGAAGATTGCGGAGTAAGATCTGTGGAAGAAAACCAGGGCCAAGACGTTTAGGACCAACCATTTCGCGGGGTAGCGTCCGTCAGCGACCAGGCATCGCCAACCCTTGGACGTTGCTTCTTGCCAAGTAGAGTTGAATATCCGTCTAGGCGAGGCCGGGGTGTTTAATAACGACGCAATCAAATTCTGTCGCTGATTTGCCGAAAGTGCATATCCAGGTTCTGGACCCTCTTCTCTCCTCCAGGCCACTGGGAAGCATCCCAGACCGAATGGATGGATGGGTGGATTGCTCGGACTTAATCCTAAGAAGAAATCCATTATAAACAAGTTTGAAAGTCTAGGGACCTGCTTGCCCTTGTCTTCTCTGCGTTCTCGCCGTTTTTTTCTGTGTCACTTACCGACTTCGCTCAACTGCCCATATAGTCAGTTAGTCAGTCAGTCACCATGGCAGCGATACGGACTATAGACGAGAAAAGCGACATCGACCAGCCTGAGGCACTCGCGCTCGAAACCAAGAGCCAAGGCTCCTCCGAGGCACCTGGCTGGACTGCGGAGGAAGAAACCGTTGTTCGTAGGAAGCTGGACTGGCAGCTAGTGCCAACCGTCACTCTTCTATACCTCCTTTGTTTTCTTGACCGGTACGGCACTCTTGGGACTGCTAGGACTATAACCGATGCTAATTAGACGAACAGAATAAACATAGGAAATGCCCGTATTCAGGGAATGCAAGAGGATCTAAACCTCGTCGGATACCGATTCAACATCGCAACTAGCATCTTCTATATCGTCTACTTGACGGTCGAGGTGCCGTCTAACATCATCTTAAAACGTGTCGGTCCACGATTCTACCTTCCTGGATTGGTTGTTGGGTTCGGTGCTGTGTCCGTAGCGACAGCTTTCGTGAGGTCGTACGAGCAATTATGTGCCGTTCGCGCATTATTAGGTATCTTCGAAGGCGGAACCATGCCTGGTTTGGCCTTCTTCCTCAGTTCTTTCTATAAGAGGGAAGAACTATACTTCAGAATTGGAATTTACGTCTCGGCCGCATCGCTTGCTGGCGCATTCGGTGGACTATTAGCCGCAGGATTCTCACAGATCCCCGACTGGGGAATTGCTAGCGCAAGGTTGCACACATGGCGCAATATCTTCTTCTTCGAGGGTATCATCACCATTCTCTTCGCCGCGTTCGCCCCTATCATCTTACCACAGAGCCCCGAAACGTCAAGGGTTCTTACAGACCGCGAGAAGTGGATCGCCTCCGAACGACTTCGCCTCGAGCACAAAGCCAGTCCTAATGAAAAGGTACAGAAGCGCCATGTTAAGCGCGCACTACTTAACATTAATAACTACATCTGTGCCGCAGGGTTCTTCTCTATCAACGTTACAGTTCAGGGTCTTTCCGTCTTTATGCCTACTCTTCTTAGGGAGTTAGGATGGGAGTCGCTGACTGCGCAGTACTACACTGTTCCCGTTTATGTTGCCGCCTCGCTGATCGCAATCGCCGTCGGTTTCATCAGCGACAAGACAAGGATGCGCGGTATCTATCTTGCTGTATTTACGTTTCTCGGTATTACAGGCTTCGCGATGCTCCGGTGGGGCACGGGCAACCATCTCAAGTACGCCGCTGTCTACCTCTGCGCCGTCGGCGCATTTCCCGGCGGGCCCGGATTCTTGTCTTGGGGTCTCAACAACTCGGCCGGCCCGGCAGTGCGAGCCGTCTCTAGTAGTTGGATTGTTACGTTGGGTACCATGGGTGGTATCTTGGCTGTCTGGGCTTACCTCCCCAACGATGGACCATCGTTCCCTATCGGCCACACGATCAACCTCGTTGCGCAAATCTTCGCCCTGTTCCTCTCTACCGGTGGCATTGCCTACTGCTTGTGGGAGAATCGCGTACGGGCTCGCGGTGGCCGGGACAGTCGGCTCGTGGGTTTGACGGAAGAAGAGAAGGCAGATTTGGGGTACAGACACCCTGATTTCCGCTATATCGCGTAATCACTGGCACGCGAGCGGTTCTAGGCGCTTTTGGTATTGTTGGCACTTGTTAAGACGCGTCACTACGCGTTTTTCGAATTTGCGTGTTATGCGCAGCTGGTAGACTAGGTTACTTAGAGAACTGTGGCGCTACTAGCAGAGGATGGATTGGACGGGATTGGATACGATCGTCTTTGTAGAACTATGTTTAACCTAGACTAGACGACGCCATAGTACGGAACTTGAACGGAACGCAATATACCTAACTACATAAACACGCGCAAAACAATATGATCTTCTCATAGTATATTGCTTCGCAGTGACCTATATACACATCGAGTTTACTTCTACTTTGCTATGTCCGTCATTCTACGATATTTCTTTTCCACGACACAACATCCTCTTCCCCTTTCGCCACCTCTCCCTTCACGTCGTCCGAAACGAGATACGCGGAGTACTGGCGTTCCGGCGCGTATGCAAGCAATATATATATATGTTCACTATGTGCGTAAGTGCACTCGCCACCAATGCGTCTATCGCGCCTAATTGCGACTTGGTGTCGACCGCGCCTAATACGTATGTATGTATGTCCGAGACATGGTGTGTGGGCTATTTGCGGGTTTGTACATGTACCTACCTAAGCTATGTATTTTTGAGAGTGGTAGGTAGGTAGGTAGGTAGGTATTGTATATGTTGATTAGGTGGATTCTGGAGATATTGTGCTGGGAGATGGTGTACTATGGCTGGGGACTGTGTATGTGGGTAGGTCGGGTGGGTAGGGAGCCTCCGAGGTAAATGTTAAAAGGGGAGGGGGGGTCGCTTTTAGGAAATCTACTTTGCGGAGAAGAAGATGGAAGTTACAGCATAGTCAGTCCTCTGAGTAGAGGTCAAGTGAACTGGTCTGTTGTGTGGATCTGATAGTTGGTGGTGGTGGTGGTGTGGTCATAGAAGATATTCCTTCTTGGGAAAGACTGCTTCCCTATTTTATTTTATTTTATTTTATTAAAATGATGGATATCATTTATAATTACCACACATATAATTTCACCAGCTAGAGAGGATTGCTATGAGGGAGGGATATTTTCCAAGGCGTAGGATATTCATGATGGCTTTTAATCTAACTAATCGGCAATTCTAACTTATCATCCCTCGGCTAGAATACCTGGATGTAGGTGAGTTTTTGAACACTGTTATAAAGCATGTAGAAACTTATAGTTATCGAGACTCTTCGAATCATACCCGTCGTACTTTAGGTACCTATATAAGCCCAGCGATGTTGGATATTCGAAATGAAAGAGACGATATGTCTATATTATGAGAAGCAATTATGGTCTTTAGTATAGTTCCAGCCGAAAGAAAAATACAGATCACTTTACCTCTTACATTGCTACTTAATTACGTATCCTAGCCATCATATAGTTCAAACCTTCGTTAGAGGGATATTTCCTTATTCTTATGATAGACAAGGACCAGGGAACCTATAAATGGACGAGAAAGCGATGATTATAACTTTTGTGTTGTGAGTGATTATCTCCAGGTGCAGAATTACCTTGGGGCTGTCTACTTAGGTTTCATAGGTAGTTTAACTTTCACATGCATAAGATGTCACATATTAGTGCTATCCAGGTAGTATGATCACTGCAAACCCTACTATGTCAAGGCGATATAGAAACATAACAGCAACCTGTAGGCTCCTAGATGATTAGCCTCGAAGGGGTTTCTTTAAATGTCGTAGAGCACGTCTGTGCTAGTTATGTAGCCAATGATGTTAATCCACCGACCTGACTGTGATAACTACGATTAAACTATATTTGTTTCCTATGTTAACCTCTGCGGCAGCATATCAAGCTAAACTTATTAACTATGAGATGGGGCAGAAGTGACATATGGAGGAACTGAGATGCGCTGCTTTTCTCGATTGCATCTCATATCTACAAGCTTGTTGTCCCCTATCTCGCTTATTCATACACACTACTTCTAGCCTTCTTATACCATCTTCTCACTCCCTAGCCCTCTCCCGTAGAATATCTAAAACCCGCAGCACAATCCTAGCAACTCCTCTGCCATCCTGCCAAGCATCATCATGCGGCCCCGTAAGATCCTTCACAAGCAACACCTCAACCCCATCCTTCTTCAGTCTCTCCGCCATCCCATCCGTCTCCGGCATATCCACCATGTCATCATCCACCGAGTGCCCCAGCACAGCCAACCCTCCGGGGTACCAATCCCCATAGCTCCCCGGGCACTTCATCGGCGCCGCTTCATCCCATCTATCCTGAGGCCCGAACGCCCCTTCTAGGAATCCCGCATACCCGCCACCGAACCGCGCGTTGAAGCCCGTCATATCGTAGATCCCCTCGACGCCAAACACAGCAGCGGGGAATTCCACCTCAACGTCTTCGATGCTAGACAATCCCGCCAACAGCTGGTAGGCAAGACACGCGCCGGCCGAGTGCCCAACAAGCACATACCTGCTCCCAAAGCCGAACCGGTTCTGCAGGAACGCGAGCGCGGCGCGCACGTCATCGAGATGGTCCGGATGCTTGGCGCCGCGGAAGCGGTCCGGTGGCGTAGTCGCCGGGTCCTGCGGGAACTCCGGGTGCGGACTCAGACGGTAATCGAGGGAGGCGAAGGCGGCGACAGGGATGCTACCGGTAGATCCACCGGCGGTACTACTGCTCTCGAGGAAGCGCGTTATGACCGGCGCGAAGGTGTCGTGCGCTACGCGAGGGTCGCGCCATGCGCCGCCGTGGATGAATCTAGCTGCGGGGAAAGCGGTATGTGTTAGTTAATGCGTGGTGTCTATAACTAGGTACCTAACTTATAGTATGTAAGTGAGAATTACACGATCCAATATTTAGTATGAGTCTTATCAGCGACGTCGAGGTCCCAGACCCCTAGCCGTTGCAGCTCGTGTGCGCCGTACTGGTGGACAGTATATTTGAGCGACGACGCCATGAGTAACCCTAAGTGCTGATTAGGTTAGGGGGTTACGCTAGATGCCAATAGGTTGACAAGCTGTGATAGGTGAGAGGAAGCATTTGCAATACATAAGGTAGGCATTGATGCTGGGATTATGGAGCATGAGGGGGAACGCGTCCATCTCAATGCGCGCTCTTAGTACATATCAGTCTTTAAATGCATATGACTTTGTTTTGGTGCTATCATAATACTTTATCCAGTATACTTCTATCTCTCTTGAGAGTTGCTTGCTTGTGCTTGCTTGTGCTTGTGCTTGTGTGATGGATTTAGAGGATTGCGTAACAAGAGATTCCGCAACCTTCTATTTTTTTTCTTTCTTCTCGCTCAATACTACTATTCGCGGGGGATTCCTGCGAGGCATAATCTATAACCTATGTAGAAGGAAGGAGGTTATGTTGTTCTCCAATTCGCATGCATACAAGTGCCGCTGTGATGTTACTATTCGAAACTGCAGCATCTGTTCTTCTATTCGTCAATTTCTCGAAGCGAACACTATGAAACTGTGGCCGAAAGAGTCTGACGACACGTTGCAAATTTTCTGTTCTTATGCAATGATTTATCTACGCGATTGGATTGTGTCTCTAGATGCCCAATGGGAGAGAAGGTTATAAGCTCGCGTCGATTCGATATGAATTACTCCTCACTTTGACTTGACCATCCGTACTGGCCAATTATACGCGAAGGCCGGGTTTTCTTAGAGGTAGTATCGTTGTAATGGAGGATGACGTGGATGCTGAACCGGAGAATAGATCCGATATCTTGCATACCTATTAGTCTGCTAGCCCACCATGTGTCTTTTGCTTCTAACTATTTAGGTTCATCATGTGTTGCGGTGACTATTGCCGACAGACAGAGCTCGATAGCGGAGTATGAATGGCTGGAGCGGGCGGACCTTATCCTTGAATCATGTTTTCCTATCGACGGACCGAAATATCTAGAAATGGAGCTGACTCGTCGAGACCTCGGCCATATTCGCCAAGAAAGGAAGGTTTTCATATTCTCGTGGGATAACACCAATGTTAAGTTCTAAAGTCTAGCTCTTTTGATTGTAACATAACATCGAAATGTGATGTCGATAGGCCAAGCACCTAATGACTCGCAGGCTGGCGTAGCTTGGAAGATTTGTGATTCCATCGTGGCCAACTTCATGAATTCCGAGTCTACGGTGCGGACTAGCTGCTACCGGTAAGGTGCGGTTATGGACCCGAGCCAGAGTCTGGCTCATCTGAGCTCAAGGCGTGACGAATCATCCGATTCGCTAGATGTGTAATGTAGTGGGTTGTTCCAAGGAGACTTCTTTACTGGTACCTTGCGAGCCTCTTACCGGATTCGAAATGTCGTCAATGTTGGTTGGGACGAAGGATCCCCCCCGTCACGACCTGGATACGATCCCTTAAACAAGGCTGAGAGTTGTGAAACATGTATAGAAAACGTATGAGGTACGTGATTGGAAGGAACTGGGACGATGAACTGCAATAGAAGCTTGCTAGAAACCCTTTCTCAGACGTCAACCTACCCTTTCTCTCCCTTGCTACCTATGATCTCTTATGCTATTTGGGGGTTACTGATCTTTCGTTGATAGACATCACTACCTACTACATAATAGCTAGATATCTAGTATCCTAAACGCAAAGTCCTCAAGGATGTTTGAAAAAAGATGAAACATGCGGGGTATGTGATAGGGAGTGCTGTTATGGCTTATGGTTCCAAGATATAGGATAACGTGGTAGACATCATCAAACCATCGCGTCCGTTCCCGTTGGTATTCTACCTCCAAGACTCCGCTTTAGAGAATTAAAATTTAAATATTCTCAATCGAGAGTCATGCAGTAAAGCTACTGCTTCATAGATGAAGTTTTCTGCTGATCTGCTTTAGTTAACCGAACTGAATGCTAGTACATAGTAGAATAGGTATGTACCCATTATAACCATTTTAATCCCGGGCTGTAAGTTGCCGGACTGCGAAAAATCGAAGCTAGGGGTCGAAGAAACCCACAGCGAAATGCATGTAGGCGGTGCAATGCCCCTGACTGCTCTTGTTAATAAAAAATACCTTGGTTTTGCTAGTGTCGCGATAGTTCGTGAGCTTAGCAAAACAATACTAACTAACAAGCTTTTGGTATATTCCCTATCCTAGTAGTGAATAGTTAGTGAGAATAAGAATAGTGAGTTTTTTCGTTTCATATAGCGACTCGTTAGTTCTAGACTTTTCTAGTTTTGACATTATATTAGCGTTACTTCGGGGGACATATCCGAGTAGTGAAGCTATAATTATATGCAATCCGTACATACCTACGTACATGTAGTGTCTCTTGCTGTTAGGGTTATGTAGTCGCGAAGTTGTCAAAGTGGAAGGGGAAGTGCCAAAGCTCATCTCACACAATTTGGGGAATTTGTGTTGCATCAAGATGATGAAGATCGACTCCATCCATCGCACTAAATCGTAACCAAATCAACTCAAATACATGTGTAACATTACTTAATACAGTACTATCCTTATATATAGTATATTCATATATAACATAATATCCGGTATATGCGAGAAGAAGACTTTGACACTAACAAACCCTCTTCTTTACAACATCTTTTCATTTATTTTTAAACCTTCTTCTACTACGACACAATACCATATTGTGATAACGAGTCGCAGAGTACTGCAATAAGAACTAATATACGTACAAGGCCTACGTACATGACATATGCGGGTACGTGTCAAAGCACCGGATTCGCCAAATAGTGTATGTATGCATGAATTTCCTTAATGTCGGGTCCATTATTACAAGGCTCTGCATAGGACGACATGGGTTTGAGGCTCGTAGTCTCATCATCCTCTCTCAGCTGCAGACTACACGCAGACTACAAGTCTCCGGATTCGCGTACCCTCACATTAGCTTCGGCTCTCACCCGGGGTAGCACCGGACATCTGACGATCTTAGAACCCCTTCAAGGTCCCCGTTTATACCCAGTGGTATTACCCTAATAGGCAGTACACGATGATGATGAGCGACTTGCTTCAGTATGTACGCTACTCCTCCAGGGGTCTCTTATGACATGCTCTCCAAGCCAGGGTTACCCCGAGATGGCACACATTATCTTCGACCTCATGTACTATGTATGTGGTATAGAACCCTATCTATTCTAATGCTCCATAAGACCCGTAGAGTGGTCTAGCCTGGCTAAGTGCGCATTGTTCCCATCCCCACAAGGCCATCCCCGTATGTAGTGCTGGTCACATTTTACTATTTTCTTCTATGATACATACACTACATATTGGCCGGTCCTGTAAACGTCTCTTTCTATCTTGGCTTTTCTTTTCGTTTCTTCCCTTTTGTTCGTTTCCCTTCAGTCCTTCTCTTCTTGGCGCCTGATAGATACTATCTATCATGGCAGCTCAGGATCCAAACGCGCCGACAGACAGCAATGGCGGTGCTCTGGTGGCTACTGCCGTTGTTATGCTGACATTTTCCTGGCTATCTGTTTCTCTAAGGTCATTTGTCCGTGCTAAGTTAACCAACGGCTTCCAATGGGATGACTGGTTGATGCTTGCTGCTCAAGTAGGTTATATCTTCGACACTGATCACTAGATTTCTTGGACTTGTGCTAAATTCGAACAGGCTAATTTCACCGTATCATGCGCGCTCATTCTTATGGGGGTTCGGGATGGATTGGGGAGGCATAACGCATCGCTAGACCAGCATAGCGAGATCGAGGCCTTGAAATATCAGGCGTTGGCTACGGCAACATATGTCCTTAACATGTGGCTGATCAAGCTCAGTATTGGTATATTCCTGCTCCGCCTCGCTACGCAAAAACGATACAAGTATACTCTCTACGCGAGTATCGTTATCGTCAGCATATGGAGCATAGTCTTGTTCTTTTGGAATATATTTCAGTGCAATCCGATCGGTGCTCAATGGGATTACACGATTCTTCAGAAGGACCCCAACGCTCGATGTGTCTCAGCCGACGAGATTGTTAACGCTGCTTACGCACTCAGTGTTATGAGTATCCTGTCCGACTGGCTATACGCATTGTTGCCGATTCCTATGTTATGGAGTGTTAAGATGACTACGCAAGCTAAAATGACGGTGGTCGTGGTTTTGGGTCTGGGTGTTTTCGCAAGCATCGCTACGCTCGTCCGACTCAAGTTTCTAGCCGATCTCACTGATATGGCAGATATATTGCGTAAGTCTGGCTTTCATCACGAATTTCTGATTTTTGAATATGAAACCTATGATCTATGTATGCTAACTGGCCGTTTTCGATGTAGATGCTGGCACTGATGCGATGGTTTGGACATTAATTGAACCGGGGGTAGCTATTGTCGCCTCAAGTCTTGTTACTATCAGGCCCCTTCTTAGGCTATGGAAGATCAAGGGATTCGGTGGCACCACTGGACAGAGTCGCCCAACGAATCCATTTAGCAATAGCCATCCGATGTCGCGTACGAATCGATCGAACAAGATGCCGGCATTTGGGTCTACCGATGTTACTCTCGTAGACGTAGAAACTGGTCATTCTAAGTCCCGCTCACCAGTCGCTGGGTCGTTTGGTAGCAAGATTCAGCGGTCTTTATCGTTATCAGACGCCGGAAGCATGTCGAGCAAGAGTTTCCAGTCGCGAACATCATCCGATTCTATAATGCTTCCGAGCATACCTCGGCGCTCTCGATCGATCTCGGAGGCCGATACGTTAGCCGGTAGGAGTCATCGATCTCGACCGTCATACATGTCAAGAGTAAATGAAGCACCTATCGAAGAAGACGATGGACGAGAAGAATACATGGGAAGTAGATCCAGAAGGATAAATATAAAGAGTGAGATGTATATCATCGAGGGTAATACGACACCGACACCTACGACACCTATGGTGCCCGTGGGAGCTCATAGTCGCGACGAGACATGGCTAGCAGAACAAGATTCATCGAACGACGGATCTTTTGAACTCAGCCGCGTTCAATCCCAAAACAACAGCATTAAGAACTCAATTCAGCTAACGAAGCCATTGCCGCTACCGCCCACTTATCACCAAAGATGAATTCACGCAATCGAATTCTAATAGAAACTACAATGTGCAAAGCCTTCAGATGACGACTACGATACTCGCTACGAGAATACCCACAGCGCCGACTTGATTTTTTTACTCCCCTTTTCGATTCTTCTAGATGTGTAAATGGTTATTATATCGGGACATACCCAAAAGGCTGAAACATAGATCAGCTTAATGGCGGGGGCTGGGCCGCTGGGAAATAAACTTGTAGAAATATTAAGGGGGTTCACGGGAGAAAAGGAAAGGAAGTTTCTCACTGTCGAAGAGTAATCTCGGCTATGGGCTGGTTATCGTGTCTTGGATATCCTTACAAAAGAATCTATGGGGTATATGGGTAGGCTATTATGCCGCCCTTAGGGTTATATTATTATTATCATTATTAGGCGCTGGAAGGTTTGGGGCTAATTTGCCTGAAAGAGGCTTTCTAGCTAGGTAGCTATTGAGGTCATAAAGGAGACGAGGGTAATTGGCGCCCAAGAGAAGACTAGGCGACTTCTGGGGATGTTTATCGTAGTTGGGGGATTTGTTACGTATAACTACCTATACATAGCAAACGCAAACTTATTTACAATATATTGCCGATAATTTTGACTGGGACTGCGAGATGACTACCTCGTGATATTATGGCCGTATAACAGGTACCTAAACTATCTCTCCAGTGCTTCAAGTATTTGACGGCACATCACGAATATCCATATCAAGAAATAGCAGTATTTCCAAATATGGTCTTAATTGATGGAGATTTCATATGACGCGCTAATTCTATTACTACCAGTGACTTGTGTTTCAGTCCCGACTTTACGTTGGAATAAATTAAAACCAGGTATTGGCTCTTTAACCGAATTACGGCGGCGTAGCCGGTATCGGCATGTTTGGATTAAGGAGTAAAATTGCTATATAGGTATTTATTAATATTATCCTGACAATAATATAGGTGTGATATATCTAGGTCAACGACATGGCTGTATGAGTGGATAGTTAGTTGCTGTAATATGAAGTAGTGAGCAGCTGGGTTGTTAGATAGGTAGTCCCCTTTTCTTTTCTTAGGAGAGAAATATGTACCCAACCCAGCGACTCTTGTATTTCTAACGTGTAGGAGACTTCTTCTCGTTACTTGTTGGTGATATTAGGAAATGTCCTTCATACATACCTACCTAACCTAGGTACCTATCTTATGTCTTATAGTTTGGCGTTAGACGTTGGACGCGCCGAGCGTTAGAGAAACCCGGATCGTCGGTGATTCCCTGTCTTCCCGCGACGGATGGTGAGGCTAGCGTTACATTGGACATAATTCTCCTAGTATGGACTAGGATAACTGACAGTTTAGGCACGAGGCCGCACGGATAACTGTGGAAGAGTCATATTTGTGTACATGTTCGGTTCGCGTAGCTTATACGGTCTTTAAGAACTGGGTTCGGCTGTTATGATAGAAAGTGGCCGGGGTATCAAAACTGATGTTTCCTTTGCCTAGTTAGTCAATTACCTCCTACCTAACCAGGCTGCCGGGATTCTTTGCTAGCTACGTAATTGAAGCCTTAATACAAAGTAGCCAAGAACGTTGATACGTTTAAAGGCCTTGAGCTTCACAGTAGCTGGCTACCTTGAAATAATCCATAGCCTCCTCGAATGGGCTTGGTGAAGAATCTACATACATGGTATATCCACAAAGCGCAGTCACTGCACCAAAGATCATTGATCTAGGCTGTCGATACCGTCGATGCCCTCGAGACTAGGATTCCAATCCTCCTCTTCGTCCCACACAGGTGCCAGCACGAACTTGTTAAGGATCTGGCCCATACCGCAGGCGAACCCAGTGCTCGCCTCGGGGTTCTGCAGGTCGATGTTTTGCTCCATCATGATAGCCGACGTTAAAAAGTCGGTTTCCGTACCCATCCCTAAGCTCAGGATTGTTCCTCCCCAATCAAACTCCACCTTGCCGGATTTGCGCACGTGGAGCTTGCCAATGAGACCACCTTCCGGTGGGAGAGTTGCGAATGGGTTATATTCTTTCTCCTTCTCTTTGCCGTCTTCCGTCTTCACCTTGTTGGTAGTAGCCGGGCCCGTATTCTCGCGAGACGTAGGATCGGCGACTTCTGGCTCTTCACCATTCGTACTATCTGTAGGCTTCACCAATGGTGGGAGAATAGGAGGTAGCTGGAAGAGGTACATCTGATCGTCTTTTTCCTGGCCCTGTGGTGCCTCATCGTCCTCGTTCCCTTCATCTTTTTCGCCTTCTGTCTCGCCTTCCTTCGAGCCACTAGGGGGGTCGTCAAATTTAAGCGTTTGCAACTGAGCGTCTAGGTCGTATATAGTTTGTAGAATCTCGGGGTCTTTAGCTGCCTTCTCCTTTCGTTTTCTTTGTGCAATAGCGGCGCTGTATTCGTCGGCGACCGGTTTCTTCTTAAGTTCTGGTGAAGGAGGTGCTTTTACCTGGGCTGCCTCAGGAATGTCGGCCATGTCAACGTCCATTGCCTCCGGTTCCGTACCAGGTTCTGCTTTGACTTTGACTTGACTCTTTGGAGCAGCATGCCAGACTTCGCTATCGTCCTCCATACCGATCTCGCGTAGATCCTTAGCTGCTTGAGCAACGAATAGTTCGTCATCATCAGAGGACTGACGCTCTTCAGCTTCAAGCTCCGCCGTAGTCTTAACTTTAACTTCATCCTCTTCATGGTGAGTTCTAAGAAGACCGACTGGGAGATTTCCGGTCGATTTAGTGAAACGGGAAGGCTGATAGAGGGCCTTTCCTTCCTCGTCGTAACCCGTAGTCCCGTTTAGAAGGTCAATATTGACTCTATCTTCGTTCTCTCGTCTAGGCCGATACCTAAGCGCGTTGAACTGAGAAGTAAACCCACCTTTTGAGGAAGAAGCGCCGCCATTAGCTCCCCAACCCCATCCTCCCGCACTCCCTTTCACATTCTCTATTTATAAGTTAGCAAGTTGGTTATTTAATGGGGGGCATCGTCGAGTTATCAGAAAATCGTACCTTGTGGTATCGCAGAAAATGGGCCGGAAGCGGTGACTGTTCTCCTGATAAATCCTCGCTGTGATGGATCACCCCTCCCTCGACCTCGTCTTCCCCTCCGACCCTCTGCTCGCTGTTGCCGTTCCTCTTCTTTGATCTTGACGGCTAAGTCACGGTTTCTCTCTTGTTCTAGCCTTGCTCTTTCTGCAGCGTCTCGCCGGATATTCTTAGGCCTGAATCTACCACCGGCCCGTGAAGCCGTAGCACTAGGCGTCTGTGATTGTCTTACTGACGTGATAGTTGATGGGTCACTTTGAAGAACGGATACCGGTGAGTTATCAATTGGGGTCCCTTCAGAAGGTGTGCTTATAACCACCACATCGTCGTTTTCTATAGAGTTTTGTGGTTGTGATGAACTCTCAGCAGGATGTGATTCTGCATCGCCAAGTGAGGCTCTACTTGTGGTATCTGATGATGAATGACCAGCTCTGGCTGCTCCCCTTCCTCTTCCTCTTCCTCCTCTCGCACCACGTGAACCACGAGGCGGCATTATTACTATCTCATGAGTGTTGATAGTAGTAATTCTGGATAATAAAATAATTAGGTGTATTTGAATGCAGGTTATTATTTCTGAACTCGATCTTTGATTTGACGCCTTTTTGAATAAGACTGATTGGAAAAGTTTCTAGTGGGGCAAAGTTCTTGTAAGTGCAAGTTGAGCTAAATTCAATAAAGGAATCCTGGTGGGGCACGACTTTGTACCTGAGTCATCCTAAATCCTAAATTTATGGGATAAGGCAACTGGCGACTAGCGACTGGCAGCTGGCAGACACCTGATTTCTACCCTCTATAATATCACATGCGAAAGAAAATGATATTAAGGTATCACGCAGATAAGAAGAGACAACTGTTTAACCTAGAGGCTATCTGTGTCTATAATTGCGATTGAATGAAAATCGAACTGCTAGCGACGACGTACAATGCAGGAAGCATGAAAATATGAATATATAAATGATACGGGATATCATCGAACGCACATCAAAGCTTCTTCACCAAACTGCTGTTCGATGCTACCCTCTTGAAGGAGCATCGACCCTATCCAATTCCGTGCAGCTTCAACGGTTGCAGCACCGAATTTTACTACTATGCAACCACGTACGTTGGCGGCTGACCAGAGTATCCGTTTATCTTTCTCCTCCTCTAACCTGATAGTTCGCCAACGTTCGAGAGGAGATTGAAGTATTGCTTCGTCTTTTTCACGTGCTTCAGCGCTACGGAAATCTCGAGCCCCTAATCGTGGTAGTGCAGAAAACTCGGATATAAAGAAATCACTAATAGATTTCATCAAAGGACCTCGGAGGATCAAAGTGCCCACGATGGCGTGTTCATACATCGACGCTTGAAGCGTGGGAGATCCAATCGGCCTATTCGCACCATCTAAGATGATAGCATCTCGGACTAGAAGACGGTCCTTAGATGTTGCAGTATTGGAGGTGAACCAGACTTCGTTGCGTCCAATCCATCGATTAAGACTCCAGTTTTCACCCCGGGCCGTACGACCTTGGGTGACCCAGTCTAGCAAACATAAAGACGCGCCAGAAGTCAGCTTGAAAATCTGCTTCTGCTCGTATATGCTGCTTTCGAATGGTTGAACAGGGTCTGGTAAGAGACAAAGCGCAGCCCCGTCTTTAATTTCAACGTTCAAATTCTGTCTTGTCACGATGTCTGGCGCAACGGACCGAAAAATCTTGGTGTGACCTTGCGTAACGATGCTGAGTCTCGCTCCCGAGTGTACGTCAATAGAGAGGTTAATTTGATCGCCGCCGACGAGTCCTCCACCATATGATAAGAGGAACACCAACACGGTACCCGTTTCGGTGGTAGACGCGGGAGATATAAGTTTTAGCGGGTATTGATAAGTGATACTCTCAATCGTCGAGACGTTGTTAGGTGATAACTTGATAACTATTTGGCCCTCTCCAGGGAGGGATGACGACTTTGGAAACGGGGAGGTCATCCCGTAAGTAGATTAGGGTGGGGAGGAAGATAAGTGAAAATAGTTCATTTCATATTAGTGGGAGAAAAAGGTTTGAGGATTTTAACCAGAAACTAATGTTCGTCATTGAAGCTTATCTCGAAGCTCCGGATGAGATAAAATCATTGGTAATATTGGCTTCAGTATACACGGTGGAGAGGTTAACTATATATTAGTCTGAAGGAAAAAAAAAAGAGTTATTAAGGTAATAATTTGAGCTAATAAAATTTAGCAGGAGATATAATCGTGTTGACATTATTGTCTTATAATAAACAAATAGACATTCTTGATAGCATTACATGAGAAATCTATTAATGGGAATTGGTAGACGGAGGGGTACGATAGGTACGTACTTTCATAATCTGGATATAGTAAAATATTGGTTATTAAGTATTGACTACTAGGGGGTTATATGCATATAAGGTATAATGCAAATAAAAAGAATACACTATGCTCCACTTGCTAGATACTTTAGGTTAGGTACCTTTAGTTCTTGGAAGATGGAATCCGGCGACTTTCATTTTTGGCGAATCCAAACGATCCAAACACGCTCCCCACCATTAGACGCGCCTGAATTCTACCCCCTAGTCAACATTTCTAGTAATCGCATTTATTTCATGGAGGAAATAGTCGCATCGCATTAACCTTCAATTCCACATGTCACCATCTAGATTGCCCCTAATGGAAACCGACGATAATAACGCGACCTCTTCTCCCGCGTCCGCCCCCGATAATTCACGACGAAGATCGGGACGCGTTGTGAGAGCACCTCAGAAATTCTCACCAGAAGCGAACTCATCACAGAATGATCATACATCGTCTAAGCGAAAGAGAGGTCGCGATCGCGATGAGGAAGACGCCGAGAATGATACTCCCGCCGAGGAAGACGAAGAGGAACTTAGTGACCCAGACGATCAAGACGATATTGAAGAAGAAGAAGAACAAACTTCTAGATCAAAGAAGTCTAAGTCTAAACAAAAACCACGACCCAAAAAGCCGGCGGCGAAGCGCGCAAAGGTAAACGGCAGTGCGCAAATAGAGACCGGATCTGCTCCTCTTGCGCCTGCGGTTCGGCTTCCAAATAGACCTAAGAAGACTGCAAGAGTCGTTATAGTTCATCCTGATGGAGATGGCCTTTATGGTAAGGGTTTGACTTGATAATAATACTCTTCAAGATACAATTAGGTGTACTGATAATCTTATTAGCTGATGTATTTGGTTCTGGCGACTCTTCTGACGACGTCGCTGCGAACTGGTTTCAGCGCTACCAGCAAGACGATGCTAAAGCATTAGCGGAAGTTATTAACTGCGTTTTACTTGCGGCAGGCTGTGAGCAACAGTTGACAGAAGACGATATTCGAGATCCTGATAATTCTGCAAACAGATTATCAGAACTAGAAGATGCTTATCAACAGGTGCGTTATTATTACTTACCTACCTATGGATAACGTTGTACTCCTATGTCGTGCATAGGCTGACATACCACTTAACAGACAAGTATTTCGGACTATCCTCTTATCTCGAGGGCGAAAAGTAGTAAAAACTTTCGAGATCTCCTTATTGGGTTTTTCGAATCCTTAATTAGTGTCCTCCACCAGACTGACGTTCTTTACAACGACGAGGATTTATTGGACAATATCCAACGATGGGTCGGCATTATGTCGTCCTCTTCTCTGCGTCCATTCAGACACACAGCAACGACGGTAGGGTTAGCAATACTCACTTCACTTATTGGAGTGACGGAACAACTTGACGAGCGAATCACAAAGTCGAACCAGGCTCTACAAGCCGAGTCTAATCGCCGGGGCAAAAACAAGAATCTCATCGAGAACACAAAAAAGGCTCTTGATGCTGCAAATCAAAATCGCGAATTCATCGACAGCAAAGTCAAGGATCTTTTCGATATTGTCTTTGTGCACCGCTATCGTGATATCGACCCCAAAATTCGTGCCGAGTGTGTCGAAGCTCTCGGTACCTGGATTTGCACCCTTCCAACAGTCTACATGGCCCCTGAATATTTACGATACTTAGGATGGCTGTTGTCAGATATTTCAGTCTCTACTCGAATAGAGGTTCTCAAGCAGCTAGCAAGAGTCCTGAAACGAGATGCAGAGAAATTGGCCCATTTCATTGACAGATTTCGACCTCGCCTTGTTGAGATGGCGACGAGAGATTCTGATGTCTCTGTTCGTGTTACGGCAATTAGCGTCGTCGACATACTACGCGCGTCAGGCATGCTTGAACCTGAAGAAGTCGACTCGGTCAACAAATTACTTTTCGATTCCGAAGTTAGGATACGTAAAGCTGTCGTCGGCTTCTTTTCGGCGCTGGTTCAAGAGCTCATCGAGAATAAAGTGGATGAAATTGGTGGTAACGACGCACTAGAAGAAGTATTCGGAGACGAAGACGAAGATGAATATGATTCACTTCGAAAGGATTGGATCAACATCAAAGCTCTCGCGGAGAATCTCGCTGTATATGACGCTCAACTCGACGAGGAGCAGGACGAGATACGGCACGGATTAGATGTAGCAGCGGACGTGGTAAACGCCAACATACCAGACTCACGAATCGCACTGGCAGCTCAAGCTCTTTATGAGAAAATTCCCGAAGTTAGCAATTGGCAAATCCTTGCCGGCTATCTACTTTTTGACCACTCGACTAGCACAAAATCTAGGGCGAGTTCGAAAACTAACTCAATCGAGGCTGCCACCAAGAAAGCTGTCGCCCCCGAGCCACGAGAGGAGGCTATTCTGCTCGAGGTCCTTGCGGCGGCTGTACGAGAGAGCCTTGTGCCATCAGCAGACCATGACAGGCATAAGAAGAGAGTCGGTAGGCTTGAGTTAGATGCGCAAGACGATGCTGGTATGAAGCTGGCTGCGCTCATACCTCGTCTCCTGAATAAGTTCGGGTCGGACCCTACGATGGCCGCCATCGTACTCCGGTTAGAGCATTTTCTCGATCTAGAGGTATTCCAACAGTTGCGTCAAAATTCGGCAACATATGATAAGCTTCTTGACGAAATCGCCACTCAATTTAACCGACATGTTGACCAGGGGCTTCTTAACGAAGCAACAACAGCATTCATCCACGCTAGACAATACGAAGAGCTTGAGGAATTGACTGACAACAAGATAGCAGCACTCTGGGACAATGCCCTTAATTCGTTGCGGGGTGTAGATAAAATTTGTGAACTCTCAGCTCGAGGCAATCTTGACCGAGCCACTCTTACTGAACTCTCTCAGATCCTAATGAAGCTCAGCAAGTTAGTTAGCATTTCTGATTGTGTTGATATCCTTGAAACCCCGGGGACATCGACCGACTCCGACCGACCAGCTATCAAGGTCCTTATTAGTATCGTGCATCGTGGTCTATTAACAGAGTCAAACGAAGACTTGGATGATCCCGAAGATGAGGTAGTTGCTTTTGCCATAAAGGCATGTCAATTTTACTTCATGTGGAAAGTGAGGAGATTACGAAGTATTGTTGAAAGCGATGCAGATATCCCTGATGCCGAGGTTGATCAGCTGGTACTTCTACGTAAAGATTTTGTCACGAACCTCATACAAACCTTCTCCTCTCGAGGATTTAACGATGATCTCCGTCTTTTCGCTGTCGGCACTGCTTGCGATCTGTGCGGACTATTCGTTTTCCTACGACCTATAATTGAAGACCCGCAAGTCTCCAAATACAGGAAGCTGCGCCCTCTCCTCGAAGAGATGCCCTCAGCCCTGATCACTCAGGAGATTATTCCGATATTCGACGCAGCAGAACAAGCATACGCGAAAAGAGCCAATAAGCAACTCAACGAACCTACAGACGACGAAGACCCCTTAGATGACGAACTACCACCTGAGGATGACGAGGATGAGGAGCTCACGGAACAAGAGCGTTTCGCGGCTGAGTTAAAAGCCGAGAAGATCCTATGCGAGCTAACTGGTAAACTTGTCCTTGCCATCTTAGCCAAGACTATCGACCATACTGGGCCAGATGCCGGCAAGCTACGAAAGCGGCTGAACCGTAACAAGACGAGGCTAGGAAACAACTACAAGGATGTCGTCGCTTATTTAGACGAGGACCACCTTCGCGAACTGAGAGGCGGAAAGAAGAAGGCCTCAGCTAAGGCTAAAGGCAAGGAGCCCGCGAAGAAGCCTGCGCTCAGCGCGGAGCTAGTAATCGAGGATGATGACGATGATCATATAATACTAGAGGACCCATTCGAGGAGGAACCTGAGCCCGAAGAGGGCACGGTTGAGGACCTCAGACGAAGAGAACTGCTCGACGATCCCATCGAGGAGGACTCGGAAGAGGAAAGACCAGCGGCCGGAGAGCCGATGGAAGACGACGAGGTGATCGGGGATTAATGAGCCGGCAGGCAGGAATGACTTACTACTTCTATTACTACACTACACCCATGTACTTACGGCTTTGAACGGGATGGCACGGATGAACAGAATAGGTACGCCCCTAGAGCTGCACGATGTTTTTTTCACTGCATGGGAGACAGCGGAACGCTGCTGCGAGCATTCTTGATGGTGATTAGCCGTGTCGGCTGGCGGCTGGCTACAAGGGTAATTGCACGGAGTCGGAGTCGGAGTTGGAGTTGAGGGATGATGCGATTCCCCGCAGGGTGGCCTGTCTTGTCTTGTCTTGTTAGATGTGTATTAATACATACTTGAATTCTACTCTTGCTTTGGTATATGTCGTGTTGGTGACGTGTGGTTGAAGGGGGGATGATAGCTGTAGATGGTAAGTAAACACATACGTCTTCGGGTTTGAGTACCTAAGGGAAGCGGTAAGGTCTTGACTCTACGATAGTCAACTGTGAAGAGGTCTTGGTAAGCGTAATATATATATATATATATAGGTATCTATTTAATTAGGTATTCTATTTTTAATTGTCCATGTGAATTCACTAGCTAATCTTCGTTCCAAACAGACCAAACACTCTTTCCCAACGCTTCGTCTTGCCGGCATTTGCCTTTTTAGGATCACTCTCGGGGAGCTTAACGCCATATTGTCGAATGCAGCATGTGAACGGCTTGTTGGATACCACGGAGTCTCCTTGAACGACGTTTTGAGTCGGATGGCTGCTCGGTGGTCTGGGGGGCGTGCTATCTGGTGGCTGTTGAGCCGCAACTCGTTGCTTGTTCTTCTGCAGATTTTGTAGCTCTTGCTGCTTGCACTCTTCTAGGTTTCCCCAGAGCTTGAATAGCTGCTCTCGTAGAGTATCTAGATCGTCGGGGTTTGCTCGAAGGCTAGATACGTGTTAGCTCGGTATTGATCTATCTATTGCCGTGATCGTAGGTAAATGGGGTTTGCTTTGGAGTTGGAAAGGGGGAACGGTGGGGATAACGTACTCTACTGCGTCGAGGTTTAATAACATCTGGGCCTCGGTATTGTCAATCACGACCCAGAGGCTGTTGTCCTCGCCTTTTTTCTTGGGATTAGCCTCTTCGAGCAGCAATGAGAATCGCCACTCCCAGACTTTGTCTCCCCTATATCGGTCCAGGGTGCCTTGGTCTTCGTCCGATTCCGAATCGGAAGCGCCGCTGTGGTCCGATAGCATATCAAACTCTGTGTTCTTGCGCCAAGTCGCAAAGTCTTCTAGCTTGCGAGGACGAAAGTCTAGAACTCGAACGTTGGCTCGGTATTTGGCGCAAGTAAAGGGAAGTGTTAACGTCGTTTCTTGGCCGTCTACTGTTGTTGTCCAAGGTGCGGGTTTTAGAATGGAAGAAACGGGGAAAACTGGTTGGTCCATATTTTCGCATTTAACTATTGCCTCTGTTAGTATAAATAATTTACCATAGAAAACACGCAATGATCATACTTGATTCGTTAAGATCGAGTCCTGCCTCTTGTTCTGGCTCTTGCTCTTCAATCCCTCTGGCCTTCTGAGCCCGTTGCTCCATACGCCGCATCTTCGAGGGATTTTTCTTTTCCTCTTGATTTTCTCCTTTTCGCTTGCCACCGTTTCCTTTGCCGCCCTCATTTGCAGCAAAGCTCTTCATCTGTTTTTTCTTGGCCTTTTCATAGTCTCTTTTCCGCCTGACGGCATCCTTGAGTCGTTGATCAATACTATCTTGGTCATCGGTAGAAAGGATATCAACTAGAACGCCTGGATTGAAACCGCTGCGGTCTTCTCGCAAATATCCCTCGAGATTATTGGCATTACGCCCATACTTGATTTGAAGATTCCGTAGTTTCACCCAAGCTCCAGCCTTAACTTCGTTGAGGACGAACTCCCCATGTAAACCAAAGCAGGTTACTTGTAACGAGCGCTTCCCGTAAGGACCAGGCCAGGTGTTCGGCATTACGTTTTTCGTAGTGTATCCATATGGATCTCCATCCCGGCCCTCGGAGATATCTGTAGAGTCCCACGAGAACTTATAGAAAGCGTCGTTTTCAGTGTAATCGGAAACCCACAATGTGGCTTTGCCGATTTGATCGAAGGGTTCCTTGATCACATTGACTATAATATCACAGAATTGACAATCCTGGATGTCACTTAGGAGTTTGAATTTATTCTTGACATTGCGAGATTGGTCAACCTGAATGGTGAACTCGGCAGCGTTTGGTATAGCGCTCTTATCGGTAGAGTGGTATAGCCAGGAAACATATTCATGCTCCTTATCTGTAGGACGGCGATCATTAGGCCGTACAGGATCTAGTAAAGCCTGTTTTGCTGATTTTGGTGGCATAGGAATCTTGCTTGCTGAGTACATATGAATTACAGTCGATCTATGGGATAATAATGATAATTCATTATAACGGGACTGGACCTTGGCGTAAATTATTAATATAACATCGCCGGCATCTGGCTCGGGGATTTCAGACAACTCAGGCCGAAATATATTCATAACTAAGCCCTTATCTGGTTCGTCTTCAATGGACTTGTCATAAATTGTAAGAACAGATTTCCAATCTTCCCCAAAATTATTAGCCAAGCTTACATGAGAGGAAGTATACGTATGGTTATAAACTTACCAACTCCTCTAGTTTGTATTGCAGACATACGATCCTTCACCAAACCAATAACATTGGCAAACCTACCACTCGGGACAGCTCCATTAAGGATATCCCGAATATTATGGTACCCGGGAGGAGGTTTTCTTTGTTCATCTGCATTTCGAGAATTCCCAGCAGAGTTTGATGGTTGCCTCGAAGTCATGTTGAAAAAGATTTGGCATAACGCAGAGTTGTAACATTAAAAGTAGAAGGATGGCAAGATGCCTTTGACCCACAGATTTGACTACAATTAAGCCGATACATTAAGAAAGGGGTAATTTGCATGCATAGCTTAATATTTAATGCTTAATGCTTAATGCTTAATATCTAATGTTAAACGTTTATAAGAAAGAACGAAACAAAAAAAAACGAACCACGCGTCCGAAACGCGTCAAGACTTAAAGAGCTTTTGCATTGTAAGTGCATATTTTATGCACTAAACGGATAGTGAGTCAAAGTGTCTTTATCTTCAAATTGCGGTGTCACATGATAGTCAGGTGGCTTTGAGGGGTACCAGGGTACGTGAAGGCTGGAAGAGTACATGAAAAGTGGATAGAAGTGGGGTAGCTGCAGGACAGTTTAGTAGGCTTTGATTGGCTTTAATTTAGGATGCCTCACGCCTGCGGCCTTAGTCTTGCCAGTCAGCCAGTCTGAACTTTAAGGCATCCCCGCTAACGGTTAACGGGGTTCAAAGAGCAACCAAGCCGTCAAATCCATTCTAATCCAAATTCTTCTGCTGTTTCCAGCATCATAATAATTTCCCCCCCCACTACGATCAACTCTTCAACTTTTCAACTTTAAACTACTTCAACTACTTCATCCTCTCCCTCTCTATCTTCCTCAACTTCGTACTGACGAATTGAGGTACATTTTACTCCATCTAAAAGTCATTCAATATTTCGCTTTCCTTGCGCAATACTTCTTTTTTTCTTTTTTAATTCGTCATCTCTCCCTCAAGGCTAAGGGCGATCAAAATAAATCACCCCGCCTTGTCGTCCCGGTATTTTCGCCACTACAGCAACCACAGCAAATACAGCGCTTGAAGCGAATAGTATCTCGCTGCTGCTGCAACCATGGCCGACAGGTTCATTCCCGAGCATCGTCGCACTAACTACAAGGCCAAGGGCACTTTCAAGCCTGACGAATTGCGCCGACGACGCGAGGAGCAGGCTGTTGAGATTCGCAAGGCTAAGCGAGAAGAAAACTTAGCCAAGAGACGAGGTATTGGCACTGGCGAGTCGCGCCCTGGTGCTTCTTTGGGTGCTGCTCCTGATAGTGACGATGAAAATGCCCCTACTGAGAGTCAGGTATGTTTACCGATTAAATTTTTTTTCCATTTGCTTTGTTTTTGTTTTTATTTTCTTTTTTTCCTTTCTGCATGCACATCTTTGCTACGGCGGCGGGAGTTTTACAGTAACTACGTCCATACTATTGGCTACTAGTAGTGATTGAATACATTCCGTCGCCCTCTTATAATATCTCTCTTTCTACTAGCCAAATCATAATACTAACAACTTGATCCAATAGCTCAATGAAGACCTCCCTCAGATGGTCCAAGGTGTATTTTCCGACCAGATCGACCTACAGATTCAGGCTACTACCAAGTTTAGAAAGCTTCTTTCCAAGGAGCGAAACCCTCCCATCGAAGAAGTCATAAAGACTGGTGTTGTTACTCGATTTGTCGAGTTCCTTCGATCACCCCATACCCTAGTTCAGTTCGAAGCTGCTTGGGCTTTAACCAACATCGCATCAGGAAGTGCTACCCAGACTCAGGTTGTCATCGAGGCCGGTGCAGTTCCCATCTTCGTCGAACTGCTATCAAGCCCCGAACCTGATGTTCGTGAGCAGGCTGTTTGGGCTCTCGGCAATATTGCTGGCGATAGCCCATCATGCCGAGATTACGTCTTGAGCTGCGGTGCCCTTAAGCCTCTGCTTAACCTGCTAGGCGACAGCCGCAAGCTTAGCATGCTTCGAAATGCCACTTGGACTTTGAGCAACTTCTGCCGAGGCAAGACCCCCCAGCCTGATTGGACTACGGTAAGCTACAGTCTTCGCACCCTATATTGCCACGATATTGATTGTACTAATTCGTTCAGATTGCACCAGCGCTTCCGGTTCTTGCTAAGCTAGTCTATTCACTCGACGACGAAGTCTTGATTGATGCTTGCTGGGCCATTTCATACCTCTCGGACGGATCCAATGATAAGATACAGGCTGTCATTGAGGCCGGCATCCCGCGTAGGTTGGTGGAATTGCTTATGCATGCTTCCACTTCCGTGCAGACCCCTGCGTTGCGGTCAGTTGGTAATATTGTTACTGGCGACGACGTCCAGACGCAGGTCATAATTAACTGCGGTGCTTTGTCGTGCCTCCTATCGCTTCTAAGCTCCAACAAGGACGGAATCCGTAAGGAGGCGTGCTGGACCATTTCCAACATTACTGCAGGTAACTCCCAGCAGATCCAGGCTGTCATCGACGCCAATATTATTCCACCCTTGATTCACCTGCTATCAAACGGTGATCTAAAGACCCGCAAAGAAGCTTGTTGGGCCATTAGCAATGCTACTAGCGGCGGTCTACAGAAGCCGGAGCAGATCAGATATCTAGTTGCGCAAGGTTGTATCAAGCCGCTATGTGACCTTCTCGCATGCCCAGACAACAAGATTATACAAGTCGCTCTGGACGGTCTAGAGAATATTCTCAAGGTTGGCGATCTAGACAAGCAAGCAGCTGGAGAAGGCCCAGACTCCATCAACCGTTACGCACTATTCATTGAGGAGTGTGGAGGTATGGAGAAGATACACGACTGCCAGACAAACGCAAATGAAGAAATCTACATGAAGTCGTACAACATCATCGAGAAGTATTTCTCCGACGAGGATGAGAATGCTGATGACGGAATGGCAGCTCAGACTCAAGCTAATGGCACGTTCGGTTTCGGCACCAATGGCGCACAAGGTGGCGGCTTCAACTTCGCCAACGGTGGAGACTCGATGGATATGTAAGGCAGCGTATCCTTACATGGGAATTCGCGAGGCCCGATATCATGAATTCACTGGGCAATCTAGCACATAGTCACAGCACCGATATCATCCCCCTATTTCCCCCCCTGCTTTGCCCCGCATTTAGCCCATCCCCCACCCAAGTCCCATTGCGAATGGTGTTAATCGAGTTATGAGGAGGAGCATTGAGTCATGGTCAACCACGCGAGAGAGTACAGGCCGCTTGGTAGCTTTAAAGCTCCAGCCTGAGAAGAGGTGGTTGGATGAGACAAATGTGTTATATGTTATACGAGGGTCGTTAATGGTAGCTTGAAAGCTCCTACCCTCCGAATGAGAAGGGATTCATGGTGTATCTTGTAATGATCACCAAAAAGCATTGTCCGACAAGTTGGTACTTCGCCGCTAACGTAGTACGGACCAGGGAAAGGTCGGTGCTTTTAGTGCTATTGCTCCCAAGTGGTAGAGCAGTCATCCCAAATCCTCCCGATCAGCTAGTGGACTCAATGCGTCAGCCTTACCAAGTGGTAACGGACCATCGCCATATGTAGTCGTTAGCGAGGAACTCAGTGAGCTTCAGCAATACAGCATGACTCGCCAAGCTCCAACATAAATCCCAAAATTGATAATTCCGCAAATGCAGCCTAACTCAAAAGCATGCCCTGGCTTAAAACTTGAACATTCACTAGCTACTCTAATCATCATCCGTTGCTTGAGATGCCGAACGAATTATAGCTGTATACGTGTAGTAAGTAGCATGTAGAAAGTCTGGGTGCCCGACAAAGAAGATTCCCCCGCCTACGTAAATTGTCTATACCCAATGGTTCCTAGTTCCATTTTATTGGGCCTGTCCTTGAACGCCTTGGAATGTGAGACCCATGTGGTTCGATGGATGCGGAGAGTGAGATCTTGAGACCTACCTGTTAATACCTTTCTTGAGTGTAGCTTGATTAAATGCCTCATGCACCATCTATCGACAATAATCCTGATGCCGAAGAAAACCCTGTTTTCTTGCAGTTATTGGGCTTCTGACTTGGTACTGACGAAGAATGCGAGTAGGTTTATAATATTAAAAGGTAGATATACCTAGCATAGTTAATAGTTTTGTCTTGCCTTACTTAAGCCCCTTGGTTGAGGGTAACATTATAGCAGGTTGACATGTAGAATGTTTTGCCGGGAATGTTCCGAGGTCTACTCTTTTATACTACCTAGGTACTTGATCCAATGGGTAAGGTAACATATATAAATGCACTTCTATTGGCTATGTGGGTAATTGTTCTCATAATTGAAAAGTGTCTTTTGGGACTCGGCTTTATTGTTTCAGTGTTGTCTACATATTGTCAGAGAGAACCCTTGATGAACATCATATATAGAGTGAATCTCAGGATAGGTGTATTGGAGTATTAAAGACTACTTTCTACCCTCTTGCGTGGATGCTGCACGCTTCTTATATTAGGTACTCAATCATGGTAGATCTACCCCTGAATGTACCCCTGAATCCATCCCTACCTAACCTACATATACCCTGACCTTGACAACCTTAAGAGAATGGACAGTAATTAATTACATGATAGTTAAACAATTCATCCCCAAGCCCCTAGCTATCGCACCATACTCTAACTCGACAGCACCTCATATCATCATCTTCTTATATCTCCCGCTCCTTATCATACACAGGTCTTAAGGCCTCCTCTGTCGGCCGAAGACTACCTCATCCAGGTAGACTAGACAACACACAGTTGCTTGGGACCATCTACCTCCTACCCTAACTAGAATATTCACTATCTATCAGTCTTCTTCCTCGCATCCTCAGCAAGCTGAAGTAATGCAATGAAAAAAAAAAGTATTGTATGTTCGGATCGCACGGTGATACCATCCAGTATCATGGTTGTGGACCGAACATCTCAAATCTCACGGTGATACCATCCAGTATCCTGTAATGTGGATTGAGTTAATGTTGAACTCTAGGAGCTCTTTTCTTTCTGTTTTTGGTTTCTGGTTTTTTTTCTTAATTCTTTTCTTTTCTTATTTTTCGTGATCTTTTTTTTTTCTGTGTCTTTGCATAGTTTTTTTTTTTTGATATTTCTCTTTTAACTTTTCCCCGCCCTTTTTTTCCCGCTCCCAGAATGAGGGTTTTCCCGCCCAGTTTTTTTTTCAAGAGTATAATCTTTTTTTCGTGTTGATAAGGAATTGTTTGGGGTAGAGGAGTATTGGAGGAAGTAATGAAAATGAAGGAAGCTGGATAGCTGGTTGGGTGGATAAGAGGAGAGCAGGGTGGAAGATTGGCAAAGGTAGAATCTGGAAAGGCTGTTGGATAAGGACTGGCTGGAGGCAAAATGATAGGGATGGAAAGAAGGCTTGGAACATGGGCATCAATATCAAAATGGAAATAGTAGTTGTTTGGGAGGCAAACTGGAATGGCAATAGAAGAGTAATAAAAGAGAATGGCAAGACAGGACAATAGAAATTGGACCAATGAATGGGTGGGGTGGAAGGAAACCCGTTGGTGGTATAGGGGTGGGTTTTGGCAGGTGGCTCAATGACTGAATGGTAAGGCAGAAAAGGGCTTAGTAGTTGCATGGGACAGAAAAGTAGGAGAGAAAAGTAGGCGAGACATGGAGTTGGATAGGATAAAGGCGTTGGCTGGCTGGCTTGTTGGTTGGTTGGTTGATGGATAGCAGTATGGAAAGGTGAAAGGACGGAAAATGACTTGGTAACTGGATAGGATAGAAAATAGGAGAAGAATGGAGTTGGACAAATGGGCACCATGGGTGAGTCTGGCTGGTTTGCTGGATGAGGGCTGATAGACTGGAGTGGTGATCAGGAGAGAGCAGAGAGGAGAGGAGAGAGATGGAAAAGGCTTGGCAAATGGGCGGAATAGGAGAAGAGATAGAAAAAAGAAGAGAGGAAAAAAAAGTTTGGAAGGTAAAATATAAAATTGGAAAGTAGGAAAGATGATAGAATGGAAAGACAGAAAAGAAAAGTACATAAGAAAGTACAAAAGAAAGTACAAAAGAGAAGGGGCAAAAAGGGGAAGGTCAAAACTCCATCGACCGACCACCGCGGCATCATGGGCCTGGCCGAAACCCCTCCGCCAAGCGACCTCAAACTTGACGAAGACCAGCTATATCCCACGCTGGAGACCCACCACAGACCCGAATGTTCCTCACCAGAGAGGGACTCCCACATCAGATATTAGTCTTATAGAGCAGGCCTACAACCCACGAACCGAGCGAACTTAACAAACTAATAACGGAGCCAGGCTCGACGCTTTCATCCTCGTCTGGGGCAGGTGGTGCTGTCCTCCCCCATCCTATCGCGCATCGCGTGCCTCGTGCCTTGCAGGCAGGGAAGATGAAGACCGTGAAGTGTTCAACTGAGCCCCGCAGGCTGTGCTTGAAGGCAGGGAAGGTGAACAAGAGTGAACAAGGAAATCTCCACGGAGAAAATCGAACCTGAACCCCGCAAGCTCCCAAGGAATATCCTAGTGGTCTCACACCCAGCCGCCCTGCGTTTCTGAGCTGGCTCTGGAACAAACATGGGAACACTTGAGCTTCTCTCCACCGTGGTGAACCACAGCGGGTCCAGGGACCGGCGATCAGTACTGCTTGGCTCTTTGCGGTGGTTGAGGAAGATTTCGTTAGAAGAAGAATATTAAGACAAAAGAGAATCCGGATGTCCAGGACCTGGTAGGGCTGTCGTATGTGCCTAAACCCATTCGCCCTTCTCTCCCACCCTCTTTCCAGGCGTTTCGTAGTATATCCATCCATGGAGTCGCTGTAATTGTCGTGTAAGCCTAAGTCCCCTTATAACCTTCTCTTCCACCCTCTTTCTAGGCATTCCGTAGTGTATCCATCCGTGGAGTTGCTGTAATTGTTGTTTGAGCCTAATTTCCTTTATAGCCCTCTTTCCCACCCTCTTTCTAGGCGTTTTGTAGTATCATCCGTGGAGTCGTCGTGATGGTCGTGTTAGCCTGATTCCCGTTTTTACCTTCTCTCCCACCCTCTTTCTAGGCAATTCATAGTATAATCCGTCGAGTTGTGCTGAGGTGAACCTGGAAACCTTGACCGGAGTGTTTGTTAAAAATCCCGAGCGTCGGAAGCTAGTCGTATTTCCCTTTTAATCATCCGGTCATTGCTGATGCCGTTGCCGAAGTTATTCTTATAACATGGGTGAGATTGGGTTCAGGTAGAGATATGATGTCGCAAATGCAAAAGGGGAAGGCGAAACTATTGTGTAGGTTAAGGGTATTGGTGTAATGGGAGGGGGCAAATGAGATTGAAGTGAATAAGTAATGAAGATAATGTGGGCAAGTTATGGATGGAAGATAGAAGAGGAGGTTACAGCCTAAGGAGGTCTATGCAAAGCGGTGTATGTTTGAAGTAAAGTGAAGAATTTTGTTGTGGTAGGAATGTATGTTCAAGGTGGGTTGGGGAAGGAAAGTGTCGCAGAAAATTAGATGTGGAAAAATTAAGAGATATTTGACTTACCAATTTCATCCATCGTCTTTATCCTAGGCCTATTGAGTGAAGTTGGATAGTTAAATTTTCTGTCGCCTAATATGTAGTAGTGGATAGGGGGAGTGTATGTTATGTTATGATGTTTGGGAACTTGGGTGGGAAATTAAGGTGTTGAAGAGGAAGAAATTGTGTAGTGGTTGGGGATAGATAATGTTGGTTGGTTAGGGGAAGGGTTATTAAGTTAGGGTATGGGAAGGGAATATGGATTGTAAAATATTATTATTAGGGGCATACCTGTTGTAGTGTTGTAGTGGTGATGTCCAGTTGTGATGTTGTTGTTGTTGTTGAAGTTGAAGTTGGAAAGTTGAAAGTGCAAAAATGTATGGGGGGAGGGGATGTTTATATATGAGTGGGAAGGGCGAGGCTGATTAAAATCAGAATTGCAAAATCACAACTCTACTGGCAAGTTCGAAATTGTGCACAGGTAAAATTAGGTTCGCACCTTCTTCAAATATGATCTGTAGAGTGATTCAATGTATGTGACTG